GAGTGCCATCAAGCGCATACCTTCAGCTTCGACTGCATCTCGCGGGATTTTCTCCGGGCGAGAACCTGCAGGTGGCTAGAGACCTGCGGGGATGAGAGCGGAAAAAGGGAAGAGGGGAGAGCGGAAAGGAGGGGAGAGAAGCCGTAACCAAAGAGGAAAGAGACGCCCCGGCGCGGCCCAGGGGCCCAGCTAGCGCCACCTACCTTGATGCCGGCTTGGTATTCTCGCACTTTCTTCCTCGCTAACACCTGTATGTGACTAGACACCTAAAGGGTGTGAAAGAGTTTTAAACACACAGGTAGGAGCGACCAACAGCCAAAACGCTGAAAACTGGGCCTGCAGTGTTCCCATGGTGACCTGACAAGGCATTATTAAACTTAAACTTTCATGTCGGCACATACAGCAACAGGTTTCAAATGCTGAACGATTTAGAAAATAGGACATGCCATGCATATCAGCATTCGGATTAATATTCGATGCTGTGTGTTTTGATTGGATGTTTTCTAGGAGGACTGACACCTAATTGGATGGTCTGTGGGAGGTCTAACACCTGATTGGATGGTTTCTGGGAAGCCTGACAAACGGAACTGGAAAACCTTTATCAAACCTGGTCTGGTGTTACGGCGAGTACAGCACCAGACTCCCCTCTTAGGAGCGCTAGGCCCCCTGCTGGCCGGTTCGTAGCTCAGTATCAGTGTGTTTCTGCTCACAGGCTGTAACGAAAGCCTTGGCTCTGGTCCAGTTCTGTGAGAAAGTGTCCACACACGGAAACTGAGCTTGGAGCAGGTTGGTGGGTGCCTTGCAAAACCTGGTGAACCTCACTGTGTCAAAAGCTCACTGTGTGATGGACAGGGCTGGCCCAAAGCATACGTGAATTAAGCGGATGCTTAGCACCCAGCGGTCACTAGGGGTCGCCCCATGTAATCAGTCTATCGAATGGGAAGGGATATGTCATAAATAAAATTTTGCTTAGGGCAGCAAGAAAGGTTGGGCTGGTCGTGGTGACGGGGACGTCCTTTAAGCGAAGGCCAGAGAGCATCACTCATATAGCTGCTCACTGTTACTCGTCACCATGTTCCCAGTGACAGCAGCTCTCTGAATGTGACACACATCCCTGTCCCTTACCCTCAAATCCCAATAGCGTTCAGTATGTCTCTCTTCACCAGGCACGCTCTTTCAAAGTCACTGTTACCATCACCTTCAAGCCAGACCTTAACCACCGCTTATTTCACGGTAGCTGTTATTCACTCAGCTCACCGTCACTTCAGTGTGAATAACAATCACCTCCCATAACCCAGCAAACCCAGAAATGTGCTGAAGTGTCAGTAAATTAACTGAAACTGGTTTTTTCCCCATTTTCTTGCATTAAATAAAAGTGTAATAGCTCTGTATCCAGTAAGAGCCCAAATCCAGAATAAGAGGCAACAATTACCTGCTTCCTCGTGCGGGTTTTGCCAGTTCGAAGTTTGATGTATCTGGCTATCAGCTCATTGCGACCTGAAACACAGGCAGACAGACAGATGCACTTCAGGACGGGGGAAACCCACGAAGCCCGGGTAGGGCGGCGATACTGAACGTGCGGCCTTAAGGCAGAGGGAAATGGGCCGGGGTGCCGGTGCAGTGATGTGAGACACTGCCGGCGCTGCTCGTGTCGTTCAGCAGTCCTGGCAGTCTGTAAGGGAGATCCCTGAGGCCATAAATCCAGCTTTCAGTCTCGTGAAATGTGGGATAATGAGCCACAGCCCTCAAGCGTGACTAACCTGCAGCTCCTTTACAAATAATGAGCTGTGCATAGTTTGGCCACAAAGTGGCGCTAAAATACTAATAACCTGCATAGCCAACTGACTGAGTCGGGTAGTTAATTCTGAGGGGGTGGAAAGTGTAAATCAAGGATATGACTCAAGTATTAAAGCACTGTTTTTAATTTCCTTGTTTATTCCAAATGGTGGTAGTGTGACTGATTAAGGAAGGGCAGGAACAAAACGTGAATCAAAATTGGGGCAAATGTGTCAGAAAATAGAATATTTCAACAAAAACTATAGAAGTGGATCGATATTTAAAGAACTAATTCAATTAAAATCTACTTAACTGCATTCATCTTCCATTGCTAACATTAAGTTATACTAGAGGTTCAACAAATATGGAAAAATGACAAGTGTTCAAATATGACAGCACAGTATTCAAGGCTTCAAAATTCTATTATATTTTTATACAGCACCTTACAGATACGATCGCTCCAAAGTGCTTGACAAAGGATCAAAGAATAGTATCGCTTACACACCAGAGTTTAAGGTGACACGAGTGTAAATGGAAAGTAAACGAGAGCGAGAAGACAATGGAGGAGACAGTCAACAACTCGCCTGTCTCGACAAGTTACTAAAACTACAAACCTTGCCCTAAACTCTCTGACACTGAATTATCCAAACACCTATTAAGCCAGACAAATGAATCTAGACCACACCAAATATCAAAAGCTGAAGGGATGCCGGCAGCATCCACAATCAAGTCGCTAGATTCTTCTAAATGAAAAATGAGTGATTCAACTCAATTCTATTACATTTATTCCATAATAATGTGCGCACTCATTTACATAACTGCTGTCACATATAAAAGCCAAAACAGGAAATCTAACTAAACGACTATAGCTAATTAAATGATACTGTTGTACAATGCTTTATAATACAATACTGGAGAATTAGCTGTAAGTGCATGTAGCCATTATGTCTGCAGACATATACCAGGGCATCAAACATCCCACAATATCATTACAGCTGGAGACGCCAGGAGCTTGCAGTCTAAATAATGCTTTAGGCCAGAAGACTAACCTACCCAGGGAAAGCAAATATGCAGAAGAGTGATATTTATTCATGCCCACTGGGAAATTCTCTCTTTGCATACCCCATCCTGCTCTTTATGAGACACACATACAGTATGCAGGTGAAAGTAAGTTTTGAGGTCATAGTGTGGGGTTAGCCAGCATGCAGTGCCCCTTGAGCTGGGGGTTAAGGGCCTTGATAGGGCCAGCACTTTCATACTAATCCAGGGGGCAGGGTTTTCAGGCCTGAATCAAATGGCCAGTAAATTCTCTCTCTGCTTTAAATCTACTGTCAGAGTGCGACTGTAGCCTCGGCTCGAACGGCATCAGATATATCAACGTAAACGCTGACGTGTTGGAGCCCCTCACCCCCTGCCCTTTGTACTCTCACCCTGGCCATCTGCCTTGACACCCCCACCTTCCTCACCGTGAACCTGGACCTCTCCCCACACACCCTGGGGGGGTGGACACACCCACCCGCACCACCACATTCTGCTCATTCCCCGTGGGCCTGAGGGCACACACACACACTGGGGCCTACTCCTGCACAGAGACGGCAAAACCCCAGCTCTATGTGGACTGGGGGGAGGGGGCAATTGTACAGTTTCTCCATCAGATACAAAGTCCCCACTGTATCAGCCCCCCAACTGTGCTCGCCCCCAGGAGCACCTGCTGCAGTCCATCCGGCCCAACTGGGCCAGTGGGGGCTTTAAACCTTTATACGGCCGAGGAATTTGGAGTGACAGCAGGAGGAGTACCTCTCCTCAGCCCTGACGGCATGAATCAGCTCACGATGGCGAGGCTGAAGTCCGAGGTGAAGCACGGAAGCACCCAGAAAAAAAAATATAATGGAGCGGTGAGATTGCGTGACTTGATCTGAAAGGGAAACCCAGCGAGACATCTCAGCCGGAACAGCAGGGCCCAGCGGCCCGGTTCCCTGACAAGCTTGGAGGTTGGGGAGGAGCTGGAAGGCACACCTCGGTCACCGCCCAGAAAGGCCCCCCCATGGCAGGACGGCCGGCCTAACGGATTGCTCAACTCTCAGTATGAGCGCCCTAGGGGCTGACTCGGTGTTCCTAATGCATGCAAGAGGGCACACACACACACACACACGCATATGGACAGACAGACACACACACACACACAAACACGCATATGGACAGACACACACACACAAACACGCATATGGACAGACACACACACACACAAACACGCATGTGGACAGACACACACACACAAACACGCATGTGGACAGACACACACACACACAAACACGCATGTGGACAGACACACACACACA